TGTTGGGAGAAGGGTTACCATGCAGTGAAAATCCCCTCCAGAAAGCTAGAGAATCAACAGAGAGCCATACTTGCACTGCTCACAGTGAGCCAAGGTGCCCCTGCTGTCCCCATAGATAGGCACTGCCTTTCCTATGCTGTATTTCACAGCCATTTGGCCAGCACATGCCAACTAGCTGCCTTCTCCACTTAGTTTCCTGGGAGAGGCTCAAATAGAAGGATCTGTCACTGCTACTGATCTCAATTACTTGAGCTCAGAGAAAAAAACTATAGACTCTGCTGGCTGAAAGCTCCAGTCTCTGAATTCAGCTTACTCCAGAAATAACAGCCTCTACCCACTCCTGAGCATGGAAGAGATCTAAAACAGTAATCCTCAAACTTTAAGGTGCATATCACCTTAAATCACCCAGGGATTTTTTTTTTCCTTAAAGATTTTATTGGGGAATTGGGGGAGGGGAACAGCGTTGGGGAATTGGGGGAGGGGAACAGACAAGTTGCTATCCTTTTGTTCTTCAGTCTAGTTGTGGAGGACTCTGCTTCACTGCCCATGTTGGTATTATGATCGTTGCTCTCCTCCCAGTTGAGGCAGATCGGTCACTGGTCATTGGGCCGCCGCTCATGGAAGTGCTCACTGGCCACTCACGCTGGCTGCCGACCACTCACGATAGCTCACGGCAGCCCACTGCAGCAGGGGCTGCAGCCTACTCAGTCATCGGCTACTCATGGCAACCCAGCTCCAGGTCGAGCTGTTGTTCACCATCTTAGCTGTAGAAGGCGCAGCGTCACTGGCACATATGAGAACTGAACCTGTGGCCCTGCTGCTCAGAGCTTGTGCTCCCAAGCCAACTCTTAACCAACTGAGTCACTCAGCCGGCCCTCACCCGGGGATTTTATAATGTAGATTCTGACTCAGTAGGTCTGGGGGACAGGGTGGGGCACCTGAAATTATTTCTAACAAGATCCCAGGTGATGCAGATGATGCTGGTTCCACAGACACACCTTGAGCAGCAAGGATCTAGAGGGCTGGCTGCCCCCAGAAGCTCCTGCTTTACTAGGGGAAGTGCAGTATGTAGGCAGACTAAGCTCTCCAAGGCAAGAGTTATTTTCTCCAACCACAGGGTCTAACCACAGGGTCTGAAAACACCATAGAAAATATTGGTTGGATGGGTGGATGGACAGACAGATGGATGGATAGGTGGGTGGACACATGTGGATAGGTGCATGGCTGCTGATATTAAGATCAAATGTACAATCATAAACAACTGGCAATTAATATACTGTCCTATAAATTATATATCTAGGTAAAAATGTCCTCGGGGGAAAAAGAAGGAAGGGGGAAAGAAGGAAGGAAGAAAAGGAGGGGAAGAGGGGGCAGTGAAAGATGAAAAAGGATCTCTGAACCTCCCCCTAAAGAATTTTTTTATTTTTTTATTTTTTGGCTTTCCTAGAACATCTGTCTAACTTAGCTGGATTATGGCTGTGTCATCTTCCCTGCGGCAGACTATGCTGTGCATTTGCAGGGCTTGTGTCTTTTATCTTCTAACCCTCCCCCCCCCTCCCCCCCCCAAGATCCTGGCACAAGAGCTAGCTCTAGCAGGAGCGCCATAAATACACATTTCATGAAATGAATTGAAGTAACAACTCCATTCATGAAGTCTCTTTTAGGTGTCAGACACTTTACAGAGATTACCGCATTTAATCCTTTAAACAACCTTATGAGGTCAGTGCTATTATGATCCCCATTTTACAGATGAGGAATGTTCAGCTCAGGAGGATTAAATAAAAGGCCCACAGTCACACAAACGATCGGTGGTTGAAATTAGGATGTAGGACTCCAGGCTACCACAGCCCATGCTCCTAACCAAGGGACGACCAGGTTTTATGAGGCTGAAGCTATATATATATATATATATATATATATATATATATATTTAAGATTTTTATTGGGGAATTGGGGGGA